AATAATAATAATAATAATAATAATAATAATAATAATAATAATAATAAATGCAAATCCAGTCTAAACTGTTGGACTGTGCAATGAACCATATTAAACACTATACGAATCCATGTTCTCTCTCTGTGCATAAATACATGGGAGAAAGATCTCGGTGTCACATCCCATTGGACTTGTCTTTTACCTCTGTCTGATTATGGGATTTAACTGAAGTGCTGAAAGCCACAAAGGTTGCAGACCACTGGGCTGAGGATTGTCCTAGACTAGAGAAAGATAGGCCATTCACACACACAAACACATCTTAGTCATCTCATGCAAGAATGCCACATCCATTAATTAAAATGTCTCTGATAACTTATACATTATAATCTAGTAATAGATAATTTGTAAAACTAAATGTCTTTCATGAATTGAATGAAAACTGATAAAAACAATTCAGTAGAAGTTCTCGTCACCATTTCCATAGTTTTTGTGACACTAGATTATTCTCATCAAAAAAGGCAAGTCACTACCTCTAAAACATAGCAGATTCATGTATTCTTTTTGCAACCTCTGCCTTGCCTATAATTCTACTCCACAAGTGTCTTAGCACACGTTTAGTAACTAACTGGAACCATGCTGGATACTAAAGAAAATGATAAAGCTGTGTAGGAGACAATTTTATAGGGAAAGCTGCAGGAAAAACAGTTGTTAAGAACCCCTCCTTTCAACATCTCTGCTGCAAACCATCTCCGCTGAAATAATTCACCTATTAGATGTTCTTATTGGAGTTTAATTAATATGTTGATATGTAATATATGCTTCCATCTTCACAAACCATTATGTAGGAAATCACATAATGAATTAGTTGAGCAAGGAAATATACTTTCACGTATTTATTTATTTTATATTGTCGCCTATTCACCCATGGCGACTTAAGGCAGGTTACAAAATATAAAATCACATTTAAAACAATAAAACTAACAAAAAGAATTAAATAAATTAATAGTACAATATAACAAAATCACCCCTCACTTCTCACTCCTTGCCCTGGCGACAGCAGATCACACGAGCTATCCTGCTTTGGGTTCCCCTTATATACCTATTTACATGTGTAAATTTATGCAAAAAGATATCTTAAAACTATTAGAGATTAGCTTGAATATTAGTGAAACTTTTTGGTTAACAAAATAATTAATCCTTCTAGTATAATGAGACTTCCACTAGTAACTGGTTAGAATTTATTAATCTTGGTGCATTAAATTAATAGTGCATTAACTTTTGGTAAAATGTTTAATTAATGGAATCTATGGGTATAAATATAATAGGGCAGTGATAAATCTAAGGTCAGCCAGATATTTCTTAACTGCAAATCCCAATAGCCTCAGCCAAATGCTCAAATGATGCTAGAAGCTGCAATTCAGTAGCATTTGGAGATCCACAGATGTTCACTGGTATTTATCAATCAGTGCTAAGTTCAATGGAGAGCGAATGTGATTCATTTAATAGTTGCAATTAGGGATAGATCTGACATTTGTCTAAAAGCCATTTCCCTCTTGGCCAGATTGACTGGATTCACATATCTCATTAAGACATAATCCACCACTGGATTATGTTAGGTGTTCCATTACACTATCACAAAATCAAACTAATCATGTTCTGGCTTAACCCAATGACCATTTAACAATAAACAAAGTTATATGCAACAATCTCAATTCGCAATTTGTAAATGTTTGGGTAATGAACTGCCTTACAAGACACAATAATATTATAAAGTGTTTGCAAATTAGTAACTCTCTGTGCATGAGTATACTAGGCAATTTGGCTGGGAAAGCCAGTAGAATGGACATTTAAGATCATTGCAAAGATATTTGGTTAAACTAGAATGAATAATTATCAATAAAGACATAGAAAACTGTTAGGGACAATTAAGTAGGAATTAATCATTTTAAACTGAGTACTCAAGTATTTGATGTGAAATTGTCAAAAAAACCTGTTTTAAAACCAACAGCAGCCTTAATAAAACATGTTTTAAAAATCTGTGTAGAAAAGAAAAAAATCCTATAAAATGTCCATATTGGGAGTTTTTTACAAAACATATTTCTTAGGTACTGAACTTCTTATGTGCAGCAGCAGCACCACACCCAATTGAATATTAACATGTTTGCAGTCCACATTTCAACCACAGAGGGGGGAAATGGCTTTAAACAGTTCTGTTTTTCATATGTTTGGAACAAGGATTACAATCCTCAATAGCAAACCAACCATTTACTGATCTCCTCCACCGGTAGACTCCAGTGTAGATTATGGCTATCACGAAACAAATCAGTTTAGCCCCAAGGCTCTACTTTACATGCTTTCATATCAGGATGTTTTAAAAATTCAAAATGAAAGAACAGGTAGGGCAAGAGTAGAGAAAAAGAAGAATGGTTACCTGTCTTGGTTTAAAATCCCAGTGACCTTGTTGTTGTTGCCCTCGGCCCAAGAGCGGTGGAAACACTATCCTCTGTTGTGAAACATGTCCCAGACAGAGCCTCAGGCCTGTGCAAAAGGCTAGCCACCCAAGGCTGGACAGCTTCCATCCTGCAGCCCTCATTTTGCTGAGCCTTAAGCTGAGCTGCTCTATCGCCCAGCCCTTGTTATTATACAGCACTTTTCCTTATGCTACTTCGTATTGTTCTCCTCTTGGCTCTATCCGTATGCTAGGATTTGCTCCTCCTTTAAACTTTGTACATGAGTCAGGTTGTACAATACAGAGCAACGCCTGATGTTAATGACCACATTGTAATTTCTGAAAATGAGCGTATCACTGAATTAAGGTGTGGCAGGCATCACCTTTTCCCTACCAAGCATAGTGAGACAGTACTAGACGATGAAGCAGCCCTGTAAATCACAGGCTGAGTAATTCTGAGGAAATATGTTGAAAGGGTGTGTTCCTTCCTGGAGTGTGTCTAAATCTACCTTTTGGCTATGTATTTTCACTAGACTAAAGAAAACAAACCCGACCAGGTGTACTTAGGGAATAGGAAAAGCAATGGGGAAAGTTTAAATGCACACTTGATGCTTGATCAACTGAATATTTTATATCACAGACTTAAAATCATTTAAAAATTAAAACTGAAAGTGTTTTCAAAATGACTTTCAACAAGCCCAGTATTGTAACTTGAGAAAACTGAGACCGGTACAGGCTAATCTTAAAAATGTTTGCTTTGCAAAAGGTTACAATGCTGCCAAATCAGTAGTGAAATAATATCAAATAAGCAGGGTAATGGTAGATTGACATAGATAGCACCATAGAAGAAAGGAATTTAAGTGGTGCAGCTTTTTTCACTCTAACCTGATAAACTGCATCTTAAATGTTAGTTGCGTATAAAAATAAGGAAAGTATTGTGCATCTGGCATCCTTTAATAACTCACAGAGATTTATAAGCTATGATTAAGCAACTTTTAGTTTAGAGCCATACATTAACTGGGTTACATTATGATCGTCTTACGTTTTATTTTTATTCATCTATTTTTTTATGTTTGCCTACCTTGCTTTTTTTAATCACAATGTCTATGAATAAATGTATTTTCTACAACCAGTTTATGTGAATACATTACAGTTTTTCACTGAACTGGTAAGATGGTTCAAAGTAGGTCTCTGCTGCATTTTAAGTCAAAGCATTGTGAATAATATTTTCTCGTTGCTAGAGCCAAATCGGTATTGTTATCCTGAGTGATGTCTCATGGATGATGCAGAATAAAAAGAAAGAAAATTCCTACCTGACATGAATCACCCATATATTCAGGAGGGCAGGAACACGCCTCTACAGCATAAGCGATATCACCATTTCCTGTGTTCGTGGCTTCTTCCAGACCAACATTGCCCAGGGTTAACCGCTGAGTTTCTGTGAAGTAAAGACCTCTGATTTGTAATCCGTCTAGTCTAGACAGGACCATCATCAGCTCCTCTCGAGATACTAAGTTATTGCTGCTGGTGTGCCTGAAGTTCTCCTGCATATTCAAGATACAAATGAAATGTGGGTCTGGAATACATTGCAATAATCTTCTACAGCACAGGAAAAATTTTCAAAGAAAGACAGCATGAAAATCAGATGCTGGGAGTCTAGGGAAGAAGGTGCTAGAAAAATAATTGTATCAATGAAGAACTACAATCAGGCAAAAGAATAATATGGAAGGTAGAATCAACAAATAATAACAGAGCATTGGAAGCAAAATGTACACAGTATATATATTTTGAAAATGTTCTTAAAACAGTTGTCAAGCAGCAATAGCTCTTTGTTTATGCAAACCAATTGGAGATGTATATGTCAACACAAACATCTTGATTTTATCAAGCTCCTGCCCTAGAATATAATGTCCATCAAAATAAAAGTTTTTTGACCTCTTATTAGATAACTCTCATATCAATCAGCGAGAACCAAATAGGTTGGGTATATGAAGGAAAGAATTGTTGGAAAATAAAACTGTATAATCTTCCATTTCCAATATATTAAAACATTAGACAGCATTATGCTAGGCATGTATTGTCCACAGGTTCCATTCTTATTCTTTTTGAATAGCAAACAGCATTAAATGCTATTCATTCCACTTTTACTACAATAAAAGGCATTTATTAGATTGTTTCTAAAGTGCTTTGGAATAAGATTCAATTTCTATCTTCAGTTCTAATGCTGAACTGAGCCTCATATATCGAAATGTCGGTTTGGAATGGCCTCGATCTTCAAGTACATCTATAATTGAATGTAGAGTAGGATGCCAAATATCTTTATTTTTCAAGTCTAAACATGAATTACCCAAGCACTCATCTTGACTATTCAGGCAACCAGTGCAAGTTGTTGCTTAACTGCAGTGCAACACATTATTGTACCATATTACAGAATTACTGGATGCCAAAATAATCTGATGCTGCTCTTCTATGTTTTGAAGGAAGAAATATATCCATATAAGTAACCAACCAAACTAGCTTTACAATTTGGCTTTTGGAAATATTTCCCCAAAGTCTTCTGGCATAAGAAGTCCCATGGTAGCACAACAGGCAAATTTTTATATTTAAAAGATATAGCACTAGATAAATATGGTGTCTCTAAACTCTTTGATTATTACAGCATAGAAGCAAAGCAAGTGGGAGGAAAAGGACTCAAGCAAGTATGCAGCACAGCTGGTAATCTTCCAGGAGAGTCCCAAATACCTATTGCACCCAAGAATGCTGTCCCTCTTTCCAAATGCTGATCAAAAATGCTGTTCTCCCTTGCTGTATTCAAAGTGTAAACTTGCTATCTTCTTCTACAGCACATGAAGACTAATCTAGGGATCCACCCTGTGTTTTATTTCCCACTGAGAAAATATTCTCAATTATTTATTGAATAATAGGCCATTCTCAATTAGAACATACTGTATAATTACAATAGAAATTCTTCTCACATATAGAGAGATTCATTATGTACCATGTGCATTCACTGCACAATTAATGCATGCTTATAAGCTTTTTTCTCCAATAGACAATAGAATATTCTGAACTGCGGTCTTGGAAATGATTCTTAGAGCAGGAACATTTATGTTTTCTTTTTCTGATACGGATCAAAATAGGCAAAGATTTGATGACATAGTTTATCAAAAGTGAATTAACATTATTCTTACCTCAACTAATTGAACTGATCCATAATACAGTTTGTCTGGCAAAGGATTATTGGGATCTATATAGGTTATTTTCATCTCCCGTCCCTATGCAAAAATAGTCGAAATCCAACATCAGTAGAATATTGTACCTACGCACCAAATTAGCATGCTAATTAGCATCATTCAAGTTCAGGCATCATTAGCCACAGAATTAGCATCATTCAAGTTACTAGTTTAAAACGTAAGCTATCTTCTTACCAAGTGGATTTATCATGTGATTCAAAATGTAAGCTTTTTAAATGCTAGGCCAACAGTGTACAAAAAAGTTTGATAGCCACATGAAACAAAATATTGAAACAATATAATTACTTGCATATGAGGTAAATACCATATTTTTCACACTATAAGACGCACCTGACCATAAAATGCACCTAGGTTTAGAGGAGGAAAACAAGAAAAAATATATCAGGCGGAGCCTGAGAGGACCACAGAAAAGTGTCCTCTTCATGTGCCAGCTCTCTCTATTGACTCTTGCACTGCGGAAAAGAGACAGAAGAGACGAGCAATGACAAAGACAAAAGAGGCAAGTTCAGCACTGTAAAAGGACCCCGGTGCCACGACCTGGCTACTATTCACTCAAGGACCTGCACTAATGCACAGACATTTCCACCCACTTTTTTTTTGGGGGGGGGGAGTGTACCTTATAGAGCAAAAAATACAGTAATTATCGTGTTTGAATTTCACCACTTTGACATCATCATTTACAAATCTCTTTCTCCCCGCAAACTATGTACCTACTTAGGATAGTGCTTTCTGCATGATTATAGCTACATGTCAATGGAAATACATGTAACTAACAATGTGTAAACCTTTGTGGTATCAGAAATGTTTTTTACTCTTAGTATTGTATTAACTTTAGAAATATTGTCAGTATTAATAAATTTCAACAAATAAGAATAAGGGAATAAGCATAGCACATTAGTTTGGACACCTACAAATAGAAATAGTGTGAAGGCCTTGTTTAGACGGAGATGAACCTGGAGAGTTTATGGCATGCTGGGTAGAAATTAAGACAGGTGACAATCAATGTATCTGGAAGCTACCAGGCTGGGGAAACTCAGAATTAGGGGAAACTCTCAGTTCACATATTCATTTCTTTATTGACTATATATTTCCCTCAAGTCTTCAGCATGGGGGGTAATCTGCATTGGTAATCTCTCATTCAAGCTATTTATGAACACAGGTTCTTTCTGGAAGACCTTTAGACCTGTGTCTAAAAAAAGGTATTTTCCTGAGAATTAGTAGAACTTAAGGAACAAGAGTTATCAAAATGGCATATTCAAATAAAGACCTCTCAGACTTTCATATTTTCACATTTTGCCTATGCAGTAAGCATCATGTAAGCACAGAAAATAAATGGTGATGGGTAAATACTTTTTAAAGTTAAGATGATGCATTCATGTTTATATGCATTATTTGACTTACAATTATCTGTACATCTGGTCTTTTTTCCAGAAGAGCCATGCCTTCACTAGGTAAACCAAAAGATTTCAACTGATAACTTAAATATCCTCCATATGAAGAAAGCTAAATAAAAAATTACAGGAAATACAGAAATTGGTTTTTATTCTTTAAGATAATATTTAGTTTTCAGAATATCTTCAATCACATTTCCAATATTGGTAGAGGTCAAGAAAATTTTAAAAAACCTTTGTCATTAAAAAGTTTTTTATTGATGTACCAGATTGTCACTTGCTAGGAACTTACTTTGCCTGAATTCACTTGTTCTAAGTGATACTATGATTTGTTTGGTTTTGGCTTAGCATATTGTATGAATCCAACTGCTACAATTCATAAACTATGCTTTACAGTCTGCCACATGGGAGCCCACTCTGCATTTGGCTATTATAAATAAAATAAAAAAGATAAGAGAAAATAGTATTTGGAGATGTTAATGGGACAATTTTGAGAGATATTACAGAAAAGATCAAAATACCTTATTCCCCAAGTAAGATGATGGTGCCACCCAATATAAATTGTGCAGAAAGGGAGGTAATTCTTGGACATCAGCAACAACACTATTGCTAATAGGATTGAAAGTTGTAGGAATACTCATGGCATTACCCACTGCTTCCAGATGCCAGTTTCTCATGTCGGTGAACTAATAGTAAAATAGAGGAGAGACACAAATTTTATGCTTTCAAACTAAAATTTTCCCACAACACAAAAGTTAATTTGCAAGATGGAGTTGTTTCTGATAGAAACTTTTTCTTCTCTGGCTTATGTGAGAAGACTTTCTGATTCCTAATACAAACAAAAGTTTTCTTGCCATTATAAAATACTGGCTGTAAAATTTACCTATGGAGATCTGCTTCCAACATCACAGAAGGGAAATTGTCCACTCATCAAGACACAAGTTGTATCATAATGCAGTGGCACAGAGCATACTAATCAGTCACATGGATACATTTCTCTAACTCCTTCTGCAAGTTACCCTGCAACATGGAGTAAATGATGGAAAGCCAACTCCCTGATTCACAAGTGAGGTGTTTTTCTGAAGAAGCAGGAAAATTTCCCAAGAGACATTGGTCTCTGGGACAAGAAATACAATTTGGGCATTACAACTGTGACAGACGTTAACACTTCTCCTCATGGCAAACAAACAAGGCAACCTGGTTTTGCAAAACCTGCTGAAAGCTAAAGAAAAAAAATAGCTTTAAACTCAACAGGATAAAATGACTTTACAAAGAACAGCAATGACATAAAGACACGGGAAAGGGGAAAATGCATATTAAAATCCTCAGAACAAAGAGAGAAAACAGAACAGTATTAATGACTGATAAAAGACTTTCTGTCATTCTTTTTTTAATGTTAAAAGTAATGAATGCTTTTGTAAATTTCTCTCTTAGAATGAACAGCTTTAGAATCTGGAAAGCCACTGCTGTTTTGTGTGCAGTCAGTTCAATTCCCTGGCTACCCTACAATCAGAGGTCTGGTGCTCATTTCAGCCTCAGTCAAGCTTTGCTTTTAACATACAAAGCAAAATTCCAGTCACAGATATTTGGCTATCTGATCTATCTGATCTCCAAAGGGGGGGAAATATATGTAGCATTGCATACCTTGACTCTATGTTTATTTGCACTGTGGCAAATATTGGTGGCTCCAAAGCAAAAGCAAGTAGTACAACCTTTGGGATTAGCAGGGTCCAGATAAAACGATCCTGAACGGCACATGTCACATTGCACCCCTTCAACATTCTCCTGTAAGTCAGTTGGAATAAATCATTAAATGTTTCCACTTAAAACTTTGCAGTAATAGAGAGAGAGAAAAATAGCTGTAAATGTTCAAGACAGTTTCTCCATGGTCTTTCAGTACTCAATAGCACAGTTGATACTAAAATTATCTCTTTTGTAAGGAAATTTTTTAAGTACAAAACAGCCAATTGTCAGTTTAAATAAGGGGACTTCCACACAGACATCTTTGAAGTCTGCTGACATAAATGTTATTGCTGTGTGACTTAAATGATTCACGCTGAATGCACCCAATATTTTTGATCAAATCATGAGAAATCAAAAATCTATTTCTGATCAGCATGAATGCTTCTATTCTTTTCTGTTTCCATATTATCCTACATATTATCCTATTTTTAAAAAAATACACATTTGCATGTAAATAAGCCTTTTACCAATAATATATATATTTTAAGAGACATATTTATAAATATACTCAAATGCTTTTTGAACTAAGAATTCTGGAAAATTATGAAAGTCGATAATTACATTCTCCTCCTATCCTTAGTTCCAAAAGGACAGATCATTCAGTTAACAAGAAAATTTAAAAAGGCCAAAGCCTTCCTGCATTCCTAGTAAAAATGTAGACTATAAAGACTGTTGTGAGAAGCCTGTCTACCTCACATATTTGATAAATGCATCACAGAGCGTTAATAATACCACAGCATTTGTGTCAAAGCGCACTTCAGTTTTTTGCTTTGATTATGATCATATTGCAACAATTACAGTTATCTGAATGGAAAATAAATTGCATTGTACTGGTATTATACACAGATGAAGGATTTTATCAATAGAGGAAGAAAATTGATGCTGCATCCATCAAGAGCCTTTTTGATTTAAAACAAGTGGACAAGGTATGCCAATAGAAATAAATAAATGTGGTGCTGATTGATACCCAATCACTACAATTCTTGGAAAGTTTTCTGGAAATACTATAATATTCTGACAATACTTAGGGCATCAAGTGAACAATTCATATATTCAGAAGTGTTATTAAAATGTGGGATCACAACTAAATAATACTGATTGGCAAGTTGCTACAAACTTAATTCCACACTCAATGAGCCCTCAGTATTTGATCTCTCAATGAAATAGGTACCTAGAGTGAATGTTGCAATATATTTCTCTTTATTCAATTGACAAAATAGGTTGGGTAAGATGCATGCACTGCTGGAAAAGCAGAAGTATACAAACTGGTCAATAACTCTAGGAGACTTCCTAGAAATATTTTGTTTACAATAACAGAGAATTTATAAACAAACCCATTCAATGTTTTCTTAATAGTTCTTCCACATTCCTATTAAATGCAGTTGAAGAACTGAGATGCAATCTGTGCTCAAAAATCAACTATTTTCACAATCTAATTATAGATCTATACAATCTACTATACTAAAACTTCTAGAGACATATGTCTACATATATTATTTTTAAAGTAATTATGAGAATGAGAATTATTTGAATAAGGAAGTTGAATAAGGAAGGACACATAAAATAATCACACAAACTTTGAAATGTCAAAGCATCTGACCTTACAGAGGCAAACTCCTGTTTGTGGATTGCAGATGTCCCGTTCTGTCCCTCCTCTGTTACATTTACAAAGTTTACAGTTGGGAAAACCATAAGAACCAGGAGCACAATGATCACACTGCCGCCCTGCTATTCCTGATCGACATCTTGAACAACAAAACAAAGCCCAAAAGTCAGTTCTAAAAAGGGTTGTTTTTTTCTTCAGGAGATCAGATTGGTGTATAAAACTGATTTTATGTGATAGAGTAATGGATGCAGGGTTAGAATTAAGGCTATAAAAATAAACCTGCCCCAAATGCTGAGTGGATCTTCATTCCTTAAAGACATTATCTTACTAAATTTTGCATTTCTTTTCCAGTGGCTAGCAAATTTTCTTTTACTTATGCCAAATGCCAAAAACAGATATGATAAAGCATAAAGGTATACTGGATGGTAAGTTTTGATATAACAAAAATATAAAAAATTATAACTTAGGAACATAAAGATTGGAGACCTAAGTTAGCACTGAATTAGATATTACATAGTTAGGTATGTTGGAAAATGACATTGGAATAGGCAACTACACCACCTTCTTTCCAAATATATTGTCTCAGAGAAAATCAAATGTCAGCTCAACCATAAAACAATCAGAAAAATCAAGAATATTGATGGGCTGAAAAAATACTAGAAGGGCTCTAGAAACCAAGGATAGTTTAAGGTAAACCCCACAGCAATAACCCTCAAAAAATGTTCGTGAATTACTCATGTTTGTAATTCTGCCCCACCTCCATTTAACAGATTGGCCCTAACCAATTAAATATATAGCACTCTGTTATATCTCTGTTATATAATGAAATGCGTTGCCACTGTATCAAATCTCATTTATGTTTTAATGTTTATAACTACATGGAAGAATTTCATTCATGCCCCTTTCTATTTCAGCTTGCTACCTACAGTACTGAAATAAGCAATTTGTTGTTCAATAAACCAACTGTTCAATTTAAAATGAAACCTTGTCAGGGAAAGTTTTCCTATAATTATAAATAATTACTAAGTAGTACAGAATAGCAGTATAAATAGCACTTAGACTTATATACTTTCTATTTCAGCTTGCTACCTACAGTACTGAAATAAGCAATTTGTTGTTCAATAAACCAACTGTTCAATTTAAAATGAAACCTTGTCAGAGAAAGTTTTCCTATAATTATAAATAATTACTAAGTAGTACAGAATAGCAATATAAATAGCACTTAGACTTATATACTACTTTACAGTGCTTTATAGCTCTCTCTAAGCAGTTTTATAGAATCAGCATATTGCCCTCAACAATTTGGTTCCTCATTTTATCCACCTCAGAAGGATGGAAGGCTGAGTCAACCTTGAGCCTGGTGGGATTCGATCTGCCAAATTGCAGGCAGTCAGCAGTCAGCAGAAGTAGCCTGCAATACTTCACTTTAACAACTGCATCACCGTGGCTCATAGAATAGAATAAAATATTCTTTTTCAGCTCTCTGAAGTAATTGGATCATCATAGAGCATCCTACTATAAAAAGATCACTACATATGAAACACTCTCGGCTTTAGGATAAGAGCCATCCAATTCTTTTTATACAGAATTATAGCAAAATGCTAAAACACAGATATTTTGTCAGTAAAAGAGTATAGGTAATGCAGTGTTTCTCAGTCTTGGCTAGTTTAAGAAATCTGGACATCAACTCCCAGAATTCTCTAGGGACCATGGTGTGGGATTTGAGGCACTGAAGTCCAAACATGTTAAAATTGGCAAGATTGAGAAACATTGAGCTAGAGTGAATGTATGTATAGACAAGATACATAGCTAGCTACATAGATGAAAGATAGAATCGGCTCTTAATCTTGTCCCTAACAAAACACCCTGTAAACATTGCTTCCTGTTCCAATGTTACCCCTTTCATTGTATGGGAGAACAACAACTAAAATGATACTATCTCTGGGAAGTAAAATACATCAGTGCTGAACAATGGAATGGAGTCAGTAGCCACAGTCCTTAAAAGCAGCAATGCCCATGTTTCATGCAGAACACCTCAGGAATTAACTTTCTGGAATAAAATCCCTGGTAAACCACTCTCAAAAATCAGCTGAAGGATGTATGACTAATAATAACCGATTGACCTAGAGTAATTAGTGAATTCTGCAGTCTAAAATTAGCATCCTACTGTGCAACAAAGGGGATAAAAACCATTCCATCGTAGAAATACTTACATACCTGCACTGTCCATCAATTTTATTACATTCAGGATTCATAGCACTGGTAACTCCTTTGCTTGAACAATTGCACTTTTCACAGCCAGTAAGTGGATGATATCCAAAGTGCAACCTCACACACGCTTCACATCTAGGCTTAACAGTTTGTGGGGGACAAATACATTTCCCAGTGATATCATCACAAAGACTCCTTCCACAGCTGCAAGCTGGGAATAAGAACATAAATTATTTCATATTCAAAGAATATTTGAATTACATACATTGCTCTTGTTGGAAAAATAATCCATTGGAACTTATTTTGCCTCGTTACAAAATTCTTTGAAAAATTTGATCGAACATACGTATGCTCAACCAATAGTAGTCATTTTTATCAAATACATGGCTCCCTCTACAATGTTATGTAAATAACTGCAAAAGCTGCTTAACATAATTGAACAAGAAATAATACATTAGAGATGAATCTCAAATACTTAATAATATCTGAATGATCACATCTCAGTTTAAGAAGCTGAGATATGAATGCATGTTTTCTACATCCAGGCATTCTTCTTGGCTCTTCTTTACATCCAAACAAAGCAGGAAGTTTTCAATGAATAACTCTGAGCAAAATCCTTAAATTGAAAAGGAAATCAACAACAAAATAAAATATTTGGTTTTTGGGCAGCATTATAAAAAGTGGGTAATCTCTCCCATGTGGAATGGCTACTTACGTTTGCAGAATGGAAATCCATAGTAACCTGTCTGACACCTGGTGCACTGGCGACCGATGATGTGTGCTCTGCAGTTACACTGTCCCCCATCAGGGTTGCAAGCAGCGCTGGTGGCACCCTTTCTGTGACAATTGCATGGCAGTGCCCCGTCATTAAAAGCAGCCACCAGTGATCGAGCTGAATTTCGACAAAATTCTGAGGAATTGCCAGGACTGTAAAACAGAAGGATAGAAGGATAGCACATCTGAGTTCCACTATTAAAAAGGCTATGCCCATTTTAATTTACATTTATATAACATGTTTATTTAGTATGCTTTTAGCATAATCCACCTTTCTTTTTATGTATATTCGGTGACTTACACAATGTGAAAACTGTTTCCACCACACTGACTGATGAAATCTGTTGAACGAATCACACTGTCTTTATGAAGAAGTGTGTAGTTGTAGCTATGTGCTGGAACAACCAGGATATACTCCTTTAAAATAAAATAAAATTGCATATTTTAGAAAGTTAAATATTGATGCAGTTTCCAGACAGTTTCCATGCATTTTAAGGTTGTGCACACATGTATGAAAAACACTTGCATTGCACTTAAGTCCTAAAAAGGTAAAAAACTTAAAATGCTTATTTAATATTTATTTATTTAAAACGATTCTAAATCTTTACATAATTATATTAAATAGTCATATAATTATGAAGGAGGGAATGTCCATTTCTAAATGGGGCTTGCCTTTGTCTCTCTTATTCTTACAGCTCCCTGGGTCCCTTCTCTTCCCCCCATTATTAGGAAGCGTCTGCCCCAGAGCAAATCTTGAAAGGGGAATGAAATTACTTCCCTCTCTTCTGTGAATAGTAATAATTTCTGCTCACATAAAATTGTGTTCCAACCAATAAAGCACACTTTTCAGATGGTCACTTTAGAAACCAAGAGTAGTGAGTATATTTTACCTGGGTAGTATTTTGGGGTGGTACAAAGACAATAAATGATTTCAAGATTTTTGTGAAAGTAATGAAAAAATAAATGTCAGAGAGAAGATGAAGAACAACACAAACGAGAAACGTCTGCCCAGAAGTAGAGTGATTTTGAACAAGGTCTCTGAAAGAGTATGTAGAATTTCAACAGGTTATGAAAAGAAGACCTTTCCAATGTATAAAGGTAAATGTAAAGGTTTCCCCTGTCCAGTTGTGTTCATCTCCATTTCTTAGCAAGGGAGTCAGCATTGTCCAAAGACATTTCCCTTGTCATATGGCTAGCATGGCTATATGCCAAAGGTGCACAGAATGTTGTTACCATCCCACTAAAGTGGTACCTAATTATCTGCTTGCATTTGTATGCTTTCAAACTGCTAGGTGAGCAGGAACTGGGGCAAGCAACAGGAGCTTTCCTCGTTGTGCAGGATTCGGGTCTCAAACCCAGGCTGTCAGCTGACAAGCTCAGTGCCTTTAACTGCTGAGCCACCATGGTTCCCTCTAATATATACCCAAGCTCAAATACATAATAATATTTTGAATTGTTTTTGAAAACTTGTAATGCAGTTGGAAACTAGCAAAATGTGTTACTGGCAATCTAATCCCAATTAGTAGCTTAATAATAACTAGACATCTATGACATGTATGGACATTGTTTTAGAAATATTTCCTTAGTTAAATAGAGAAAAAGAATGGCCACTGTTGGACAAAAAAGTATTGGGAAGAAAAGCAAATTCCAATTCCCTGTGGCCTTCTCCACTGACTTTCCTTGTGGGAAGTTGGTAGGTAGTATCTTCCTTCCTTCCTTCCTTCCTTCCTTCCTTCCTTCCTTCCTTCCTTCCTTCCTTCCTTCCTTCCTTCCTTCCTTCCTTCCTTCATCCCTCCCTCCCTCCCTTCCCCAGCAGGCAGGTAAATAATTGCTGCCAGATGAGGGAGGAAGCAAGAGAGTGAGCTAGTGTCCAGTATGATGCAAGTATTGACGGGCTGGCAAAGAATGCACGGTACTGGAGACAACGTGCAACCTTCTCTGCCATGTTCTCCCTTTACTTTTTCTCTGCAAGCTTTCCACGAACAAAAACTATGTTATTGGGAAGGTGGCAAGGAGTGTGAGCAATCACATTAATTCCTTCTGGCTTCCCCACTGACTTATGGGAAGCTTTCAAGTAATGAGGATCACATGGCCAGGGTGACCACACCAGGCATACTATGATGTTGAAGTGGCAACAACTTCTCCAAATTTCATTCCCACAAGATTCATGGGTCACAGTATTCTGTAAGTTAGCCCATTAATAATTCTTGCCCTTTGCTTTCCAAAATCATCTAATTAAAGGTTACAAACAATCCCACAGGCAAGTTTTACCAGTAGTATATACAGTATTGAACAAAACATAGTGTTGAGCAATTTTTGAGGCCATATTTTGTGCAACATAGTGCAATAGCCCAAATCAATTTTCTCTAACTCAGGACCCTCCAAGATATGTGGAGTTACAAGTCCCTAGATTTGCAGCTATCACAGCTACTGATCATCATGGCTAGGAACTCTTAATTGCAGTTTTACACATTTGGCAGGATATGGAAGGCCAGTTGAAGCTTTAGCTTACCAGAGCATAAGTAAATGTAATTGGATAGTCTCTATCTCAATTAAAAATTAAGCAGTTTTTAAACTTACCAATACCATTGTTCTTTCATTGGGAATTTTCATAGTGATTGAGATGTCATGTTTAAGGATATCAAATTCAATATGATTTTCAGACATTAGCAGACTTCGACATCCGGAAATATGTGGACAAAATGAAGCATTGTAAGAACCTAGAACAGGTAGAAAAAGTGGGATGAGGACACATCTAATCTATGAAAACTCAAATGTCTGAAAAAAACTAAAACATTAAGTCCAGGTTACCTGACCAAAGTTGTCCTCCATCCACTAATATTTGCACTGAAAATGTTGGATTTTCTGGCTGGTAAAAATGTATGATAAACACATATCGGCCTATATGTGGGACTCTCCCATTCAGGATAATTTGGTTCTGTTAATATAAATATGTGGAAATTAATATATTGGTCATCGCAAAGTGAACACTGAGCATTATATTTGTACACTAATTTTTCCTTGATGTGAAAGACATTTGATGACTTTAATGAAAAAAACTTTTTAACCTACTTATGTTTGAACCCTCTCTTTGCCAGGAAATTACTTAAAACTAAAATAGAACAGAAATAAAATAACCTGCTCATCAAGTGTGATATTTCAACTATATGGTACTTCAGCTATTTTTAGAAACTGTAAATGACTTCAAGTAGTTTCAGCTTGTGAAGAAAAAAACATAACAATTCACTACTCTTTTTACAATCCTCTACAAGACTATAGAAGCTCATATTGTAAATAAAAATAATCTATCAAACACCAATATAGAGCATTCTCAGTTTGCTGGTAAAGCTCCATTCTTTGTCCTCTGTTAAACTTCTTCCTTTAGCTACTCTAAACATGGTTGATATTTCCCAGAAATTTGATATAGTGTGGTTCATAGTAAAATTTTATTATAAACTAAGCAATATTACTGGTAGAAGATTATAGTCCTTTTTTCCACTTTCTGAAATTTCAACTTGGTGCCTTTTTTCCCCCTTTTTAGCTCAATCAGCATTGATAAAGAGTGAGAGTTCAGCCTATGGCTGACTTCTTGTGACATGCCGCATGGCTCGGTATTCTCTCCACTCCTGTTTAGTATCTACATGAAGCTGATGGCTGAGATCATTCACTATCAGAGGCTGAGGTATCATCTCCACCATAGTAATCCAAGTAATGCTGTTGCTGCCCTGTCTTGATGACTGGAAGCTGTGGGGAGCCTGGAGGGGGAACAGACTTTGGCTGAACCCTGGCAAGACTGAATGGATTTGGGTACATGGAGCTTCAAAATCCAGGACTTTAATTACCTTAATTCTGGATGGGGTTGCACTACTCCAAATGGACCCAGTCTGCAACTTAGGGGTGTTCTGGAGATGTGATTTCTGTTCAAAGAGTTTGTGGCAGTCATGGCTAGGAAAGACTTCGAACAACTTTGTGTTGTGAACTAGTTGTGGCCTTTCCTGGATTGGGAGTCCCTACACTCAGTCATTCAAATCCTGGCCATCTAACATTTGGATTACTGCAATGCACTTTACATGGGGCTACCTTTGAAGGGCATGCAGAAGCTTCAATTAGCATAGAGGGTTGCCTGGGCAGTTCTTGGGTCTCCTAAGGTGGCCCATGTTACCTCACTGCTCCATGAGTTGCAAAGATTGCTGGTTTGCTTCCAGGTGTAATTAAATGTTAGTTATTACCTTTAAAGCCCTGCATGGCATGGGTTCAGGATCCTTGAGGAACCATCTTATCCCAATGGGACTGGCCTGCCCCAACCACACCAGCAGAAAAGGCATCTGCAGGCCCCATCAGTCACGGATTTTCAACTGGCGGGATCCAAGAGAAGACCTTCTCTGCTGTGGCTTCTGCCCTTTGGAACATCTTACCCTCTGAGGTGAGATCAGCACTCACCCTTCCAACCTTCCATAAGGCCCTGAGATTTGGCTCTGCTAGAAGGCTAGATGGCTTGGAGCTCCAACAGGAGAGCATCACATTGGAGGTGGTTGATAATTTAAGAGGAAATCCCAGATCCCACACATCTTGTAACTCTAATTTTTATCTTTGATTGTAACTCCATTTTTATCAATTTTGAAATATTTATCTTATGATTTTAAGGCTTTTAATGCTGTAAGCTGCCCAGACTCATTTCAAAACCAGATGGGCAGCAAATAAATTAAATGAATGAATGAATGAATGAATATACACTGACTTTCTAATGATATAAACAGAAACTCACCACAGAACATAGATATAGAAAATTATAAAGTATTCAACTCCACCAAGTGGACTGACAAAATGAATATCCATATGGAATATGAGCTTCAAGAGTCATCTGAGTTACTACATCTCTTTACTAGTTGTAAGCATCTTGCAAATCATTAAGGGAAGTACTCAAAGAATTTCAGTCCTTCAACTCCATAAAAGTAAGATTAATATTTACAAACCAATGGGCTTAAATTTCCTACTGGACTTTAATGCAAGAGGTAAATTACCCGTGAGGAAGACAGAATCACACCATTAGCTGAGTGAAGAGATGATAAAGGAGAACTCAAAGAATCCGGGGAGACCACATATCTTGACCCTTCTACAACTTTGCTGTCCCTGCGAGCATCCAAAACTACAGCTTCAAGGGGCTTTTCATATTGCAATGGTATGCAGGAGGCACTTTAAAGACAGAAGAATGCCAAATAAATGTCAAATATGGCATGTTTCAAAAATGCTCATTGAACAGAATAAAATATGCCTCAAAATATAGACTGTGAAGTCAATAACTCCATTCCCACAACAATCAAACTGCAAAACATTTACCCTAGCATGTTGTGCTAATCCTTGCAACATAGTTAGTTGCCAGTTCAGTGTGTTGTATGAATCAGGAAAATTGGATTAATTTAAGTTCAACTGTATAGTCAACATTTAGGACACAACCAAAGGATTTACCAAATGATGACTGAAACAGCAAAATTATTCTTTGAACATAAATCCTTTGATAGACAAAATGCCATAATTTATCTAGAGGAAAGTCTTAAGATTAAATATGTCTGACTACTTCAATCAATGTTTCTTATGTTAAAGTAATGGAATGACAGCTATGTTACGCAATGGGCATTGTAAATAGTCCCAAAATGCTGAGCAAACTGAGAATATTAACATTGCTAAGTCTTAAAGGTCACTTCTGTGGGAAGCAAAAAGGAAGGAAGTATTTTACCTTGAACCATGGATGTATGTTGCAATGCAATAAACTTGAGGTTCCGCATAGTCCAGAGAAAAATCCTCAATTGGAATAATGCAAATTTTATGCTAGGAAAGAAAGACAATGTGCCTGTTAACTTTTCCCCCATTAACAGGAAGATGTGAAAACGGGGGCTGCATATTATTTAAACTTCTATTTATGCTTCGAGAAAAAATAAAGATAAGAAAGCTTTCTAGCTAAAAACTAACACAATTTGTTGAGATTTGTGAGCACAGGACTTGTTGGCTGTAAAGCTTTGCCCTACAGTATTTTTATATTTAGAAGGATGTGTAAGTGTACTATAAGTGCAGCATGGTGCATTGAGAAGAGCTCATTACACACAATTAACTTGGCCAATATTTACTCACTGTATTGTCTTAAATTTGCTTTTATTAAGGAGAGAAGGAAGACATAGAAAGATTAAATCTTCATATACCAAAAGGTGGCGGCAAAGGACTTAGAATAAAAACTACCATATTCGAACCTTTCAAACAGAGGACTCTCTAGAGAAGTGATTGTTTTATCTAGTGTACTGTGTGGTTCCAGAAAAACCATACATTTACAGCTTGACTGTCTTCTGAGAAAGGTGGCTCATGTGGAGATTTCCTTTAGGTAAGCTGAGAGAGAGAACTGGCCCAAAGCTACCCAGTAAATTTCACAGTCAAGTGAAGATCTGAAGGTAACCCATCACAAGACTCACTGATGACTCACACCTGACCCATCTCAAGACCCATCATAAGAATCTCACTTGACACACCCATCCCTGAAGCCCTTCGAAATAGAAGAACAATGAAACGGAAGATGTTACCTAGCCTGGTAATGAAATGTTTGGAAACCAACCCACAGCCTTGGAGGATGAACTTTCACCCGCATCCTACTCTCGAACTACAGATATTCACCACTATTGCAAACTAACTAATTCCTCTTGAATTGTCTTCTACACTCATAAAAACACATAAACACAATCATATACCTATATACCAAAAGTGCTCAGTTAATGATAGTAACTAGGACCAGTAACCCCATTGCTAAGCAATGCAGCTGTAAAGTATGACATTTTGTCTCCAGTTCAAGCAGAAGGTTGGATAGAACACTTCCACGGTCCCTTTCAGCTTTGTTATTTTATGTGGCTGCATTGGCTTACAAAGGCAGTTCCAGCAGTTCCATTTGCCATTGTTAGGTGAATCCCACATGATTGTTAGATGTGACATCATGTGATCACCATTTATGACTCCTGCCAGCTTCCCCACTCACTTGTTGGAAATTGGCAGTGGAGGTTGCAAATGGTGATCACATGACTGTAAGACATTGCCATGGGATAATTGCAAGCTGATTGCCAAGCATCTGAATTACAATCATGAGACAATACAATAGTTGCAACGACAAGGATTAGGTGTAAGTCCTTATTCAATATTGGTGTAACTTCAGTCACCAAGCAATTAGTTGCTGAACAAAGACTACCTATATTTTCTCCTGTGCAGACAAAATACAATATTCACACATACATGTATATTTCTCATTACACTTCTTCTGAATTCAGTTCCCTGTAGTGATGCTAACAAGAAGTAAAAATGGAAGGAAAAGGGAAGGGTCTTGGGCTGGAACTGTAGAAAAGCTGGATGTGGGGTTGGGAGCAAGACAGAGGTGGTATTCAGCAGGTTCTGACCAGTTCTGAAGAAGCAGTAGCGGAAATTTTGAACAGTTTGGAGAACTAGCAAATACCACCTCTGACTGGAGTTTTTACAATATCCTTCCCCTGTCACTCCCACCAAGCCATGCCCACCAAGCCACACCCACAGAACCAATAGTAAAAAAAAATTGTATCCCACCACTGGAGCAAGATCATTGATGGACAGAAGGATATAAAAGGAGATGGGCAAGCAGCAAAGGAGAAAAGTTGGATAGAATCATGACAAGTGGATAAAGCTATAAGAGAGAAATCAAAGCCGATATATAGAACAGAAAGATGATTGATTGAGCTGGAATAAAATAGCATCCTATATTTCCTGTATAAAATAGTTGCATATTGTCTTGATATCCTGTTCAGGAAAATGTAAGAAACTCACCAATAGAAAATCTAAAGCTGATGATCTGAGATGTAATGTTGTATCAGCCAAAAGGTCAAAAACTGCAATACGAGCCATCTCATCAATCACAACACTGCGACACAGGAAGCTGGAATAGGTTTTAAAATTAGTTAGTAAGTCATAATACTTTCCAATTCCGAATAAGTTTTTTGCCTTTTTTTCTGCCTAATAAAAAAGATACATTGAAATACGCATTTAATCCAGGAATAGTGGATAAAAAAACCAAAATTATGCTTTTATACAACTGCCCATAATTCCACTCCTGGTTTCATTTCTCAGTCTTCGGGATTGACGATACAAAGAAATGTTTAAATTATTGCTATAGTTCAACAATAGAAATAGCAATCAAAATGCCTTTCATTCCTCTGGAAATCATCCCCTTAATGCAGGATGCAAATATAATAATATTACTATCAAGAAGTAGAATCTGAAACATATTCTGCCCTTTCTTAGCTTAAGTTTGCTGAGGATATTTAATATTTTAAAAATATTTCTATATTCATTTCAGTCTTTACATATCACCCCACACTCCAATTATACAAGAAAAAAACCTTTTAATTAATGGTAAGTGTCTAATTGCATGAGAAAGAAAGTACAACTGTTTTCTTGAAAGCAGAGGCAAAAATTTGAGCCTGAAAAACAAACATGTTATTAAGAGTGCTATTTTTATCAGGTAAAATAGAGGAGATAAAGAAAAGGAATACATTGGAAACTAAGAACCCCAGGAAAGTGTACATTAGTGTACGTTCAAAGTGACAATAAAGTTATTGTAAGTCTAAGTTCTAAGTCTAAGTCAAAAAAAGGAAGAAAAGACAAGTATATTTAGATGATGAAAGCCCAAAACATAAACTTATTACATTTTTCTCACCTATATTTGCAGCTGTATATATTAATTTTAGCCTCCATCACTTGTCCAAGACTCTCAGTCTTTACATTACTGACATACATTAGGTCATAAACTGTGACATACTCAAAGAGGATTACATAACGGCCAACTTGTGGAACTTTCAGTTTGATCTGAAGATTCACCTAAAGAAGATTGAAATAATTGGATGTTATCAGAGTAACGGAGGGGTGGCTACTTCATGCACTAAATAAACACCTAAGTTTTTAAAGCAAAGGAGATTAACATTATAGGGAAGTAAACCTGTCGATGCTTTTTTACTAGGAAAATAATACCTATTTTTTCCTGAATTCTCCAGGGTTAATAATTTCCCTATACATTTAACTTCCAGCATGGTGTCTATATCTTTGCAGATATCTCTTTGGCATTAGCAGTCTTTCTACCGTTTTGTTTTAATTAGATTTTTAGTACAGTGCTGTAAAACAAAATTCTAGCACCCAGAGTCATCTTTATACAGTATTTCTGAAGACTTCTAGGGTTTGCCCAGAAAAAGAGAAGCAAAGTAGTTGGGATATCCTGAAGTATAAACAGATAGAGGTAGGGCAACCACATCAGTCTGATTTCTAGTAAAAAAAGTATTTCATAATTATTCATATCTACAATGGCAGTCCTAAAATAAGCACCTTGTTGGCCATAGCTTTGGGGGAGCACCCACAATATACCCTCAAAATTATCAATGTGCACATGGATCCAGAAAGGAGATGTACAAAACAAAAACGTATCAATCTGACACATGGTGTATCAAATATATAGGCAAATAAGGAAGCTATCAAAATGGTATATACAATTGTAATAGAATGTGTGGATGATCTTGGGAAATGAGGGGAAGAGGTGTTGCCTAGGAAACAACCAGACAAGAGATGCAGGAGCCCCAGTGGCTTAACAGTCAGGAAAAGAAACATAGGAAGGACCCGCCCTTATTGATCAAGCAGTTATAAGTAGTGGTTATAAGAAGGTTATAAGCAGTTATAAGAATTTTGTACTTTTAGACTTGCAAGATTTTGTTGATGTAGCCTTACAATAAAGTAGAATTAGTTCATCTCATTGTGTTTCCTGTCTGATTTACCTCAGAGGGGTAACAACAGTTCACCTTCCCTTAAGCATTCAGAGAGAGATACAGATGCTACATTTTATCATGCCCTGTTTTGAGAGGGATGATTATAGAGCAATAGCAATAGCAATAGCACTCAGACCTATATACTGTTTCACAGTGCTTTACAGACCTCTCTAAGTGGGTTACAGAGTCAGCATATTGCTCACAACAATCTCAGTCCTCATTTTACTGACCTCAGAAGGATGAATCAACCTTGAGCTGGTCTGGATCAAACTCTTGACAGTGGGCAGAGTTAGCCTGCAATACGCCATTCTAACCACATATACCACATATACCACATGGAGGAAGCAAGAACTGTCTCTACAGTATTTTTACACAATATATATCCTCTCTGGTGTTTTCAGTTACACAGACTGTCAGGAGATACTGTAGGCCAGTGGTGGAATTCAATTTTTTTTACTACCGATTCTATGGGCATGGCTTGGTGGGCATGGCAGGGGAAGGATACTGTAAAATCTCCAGTGAGGTGGCATTTGCCCGTTCTCTGAACTATTCAAAATTTCCGCTATCGGATCTCCAGAACTGGTCAGAACCTGCTGAATACCACCTCTGTTGCAGGCACTATGTAACCAATTTCATCCTATAAGAATATCTTACCTCCTGACCACTAATATGAGACATCACTGGATGTTTGACTGTTGGCTGTTGGAAAGTTGTTTTTCTGTATTCTCCCCTATGCAAGAAAAATGTTATCTCTGTACCAAAAACACAGCGATATTTGTCCACTGACAAGTATTCATACTGCAAACAGCTTGAAAATAAAAAAAAAGAAAGTGTTTAACTGGATAATCAATATAAATTTTAGAGATTCATAATAAAAGATTCATTTATGTCCCTGAGATACTAACTTATCTGTTTTGATATATCCTGAATATGTGCAAGGATGTACAACTGGAAATTGCAAGATGGATGCTTCATAGTAGTCACTCGGTAAGAGCACTAGGTAATCCTAAAGTGATAGAACAATACTAGCATAAGCATATTAATAGCCATTAATGTATTATACTAAAGTTTCAACAAAATTATCTAATAAACCACTTTCTACAGCCTTGCATTCTGCAGAGATTTCTAGAATTCTCAATAATAGAGATGTTGGCTGGGAAACTGGAAGTAAAAGTCCCCACCTCTGAGAATACTCAATTTAGAGAAGGTTATACTATACATTTGCAAGCAAGGTTCAGGCTAAAGTCCATTCAGGATTAATAATACAACTCACATATCACATAACAGTTATCAATCTATATGTAGTCTACCCATATTGAAACAAATTCCCAAATAATCCTATGTGCAATTGTGGTTCAAAAGCACAATTCTGTATTCAACATATTCATCAGATTCCTACTGCCTTTACAGGGATGAATCTCAAGTATAAGTCATATTCTAGTACTAGGGCTTGAAGCTTGTGCCTGACTCATTCTTTACACCAGTGTGAGATTTAATTTTCTGAATAGACATTTCCCTTTTATTTGTTTGGGAGTACTTTAGCAGAGAATTAATTTCTGAAAATATAAATATTATTGTGATAGATCTTCTTACCAGAAGTACACCCTCTGCCATGATTTTAAACATCCAAGTTCCAGGTCCCAATAAAAATGAATCTGCAAAACCTTTTCCTGGAACAGTTACAAAAGCTGGCTCTCTACTGAGTGGGAAGAAGATGTCTTTGCTCTGATCAGTCCCTGATGGAAAACAATCAAATTAATAATTTACTGAACATTATTTATCCAACAATAACATTACTTAATTCAAATTAGATAGTCAGCCAATGAAGGGGCTAAGGAAAGGACTGAAATACATTTCCATACATGATCTGCCAGCATGGACATCATTCCCTGGAGAATCTGCAGCCTGATTCTAATGCAAAGATCTTAAATAAATAAAGTGTAATTTAGAAAAACAGAACAGCCACGTGTCCATATTTTACCCTGCACCCAACTTTGGAGCTCACAATTTGCTTTATTAAAGCTGGAATTTCCTCTGACATCTGAAATGAGCATCTTTAGATAACCTCTGCTTACAGATGAGATCTTGGTTTGTAAGCAAGATTAAAATATAGTTTCTATATGAACATTGTGTGAAATAAGTTGGCAATTGGGATAAAAGTACCAGAATTGGATACGTAAATTGAGGAACCAATTTAGACAAGAACATGGAGACAATTACTTTATTCTCAGGTAAATAAATTCAAAAATGTTTGCTGTTTATGATACCTTCATTCAAATAAAAAGAATCCTAAATTTAACCATGAAACTCATCAAAAGCAAACTTTATCTACTTTGTGGCAACCAACTTAAATTTTCAAGTGAATTAATGCTCAAAAAAGTTATCAGCCGTATAAGATGTCCACCAATTGTAATTGTCTTCTAATAGCACTCACAATCTACAGCTGTAAAGATATATAATTCACCTAGTCTAATGTTTCACAAACAAGCTGGGTAGGGAATTATGGGAGTCAAAACCCACACATCTTAAAGTTATCAAATTGAGAAACACTCATCTAACCAAAGCTCAGTGTATGCACTATTCACATTGTATTAACCTTTCAGACAAAGCACCCATATTTCAAGTTCTAATCCCTGTCAAATAACATAGCTTGCTACATAGGGGCTGCAATTAGTAGCTTTTAAAGGCACATGATTAAAGCCAAGGGCAAGTCTGCCAAAATCACTTTTCCTAAAAGCACCTTAAGATATATCTGTCAGCACTAAAGATCTAATAATGGCAAGCAGAGAGAAATATGGATTAATTATGAAGATCGTGAGTATGACATACACATGCTGACATCCTTTGTGACAACAAAGGATATTAGAAAAGTACAGCAACTGAAAATTGTTTAATATGCTGGGTTATAGGGCTTGTTTTCATAATCACTTGTTCAAAGATAAATAAAGTTTTTTTTAAGGAAGAGCACAACACCTGAGTAGCTGGGGGCTTTATATTTTTCTTTAGTTTGACCCTGCTTATATCAAGAGTGATTAAAACAATTTGTTCTGGATTCATGACCAAATAGGATATTTCTGCCACTAAGTATTTATATGTCACTTTTGTAGCCATAAATAAGGACAGACAGATCACCCAAATTCTAGTGGAGATGCCCACAGACTCTTGAACTGAGTCAGGGTGGCAATTCAATGTATTGCCTACAATTTTGTTTGAATTTAGTTGTGTGAGCTTTCAAATATCTTTAGTCAAAGAAAACTGTAATTTAAATCACTCAGAACACACATATTTATGATCACACAAAACAATTAACTAATCACAGAATTATCCTATTTTCAGAGCCAGATACTATGTTGAACTACATAAATAGGCTGGGATAGTGTACTAAGTCAAATGAACACAGACTCACAAAGGGACAAATACCACTAATGAAATATATGGTGTTAAAATCAAGCAATGTCTGGTCTTTAAGAAAACTGATTGATGTTGCACAAGCACAGTCTACATGTGTGTTGGGGGGGGGGAGGAAATACAATGTGCATGCAGGAAAAAAAAATGCATGGCTGATGCAACACCAGAGGCCTGACCAAAATGAAAGCTGCCAAGATCAAACATGGTGTAAGAGACTATGAAATACACTGGATTATGTAAACAAGCCTTGTTAAATACACTCTGTATTGCACTGAATTTCATTGCACGTTATTCACCAAATTCTACATTAGTCCTGCTTACCTACCTTTTAAGGTCCGAGATTGATAAGCTGTTATGTGGCCAGATATTATTGCAGTTCCAGGATTTATATACCTCAAGATAACATGAAATAAATAGGGTTTTGGTTTCTTCACACTCAAAGTTATCCTGACTTCATTCTGTAAAATGGAAGTTAATAAAACAAGAAAAAGATAGACAGCCATAAAGTGCCAAAAGGGTAAGCCATGCAAGCAAAATATTCAATATCTACCAGGGGGAATAAAAACTCTCTCTTTCTCTCTCTCTCTATAAATAGATATAGACATGCACCTTAATACATAGAGAAAGAAGCCTTTTCTGAAATAAGGAAGAGAGAAGACAGGAAAACCTAGCAAGAAATGTAATTCACTTACAAGTGTTATTAGGGTCAAAATGCTTTCCCTCAGCAATTGAGATCTTCCCTTTAGAGTGTTTTGAAACCAAGCTGACATAGTGCAGTACTAGATGGAAGAGCTTAGGAGAAGCCACAGTGACAGGAACTACCACCTCTGGCTGGGAAAATAAGAAGCAAAGAAGAGGACAGCAAAGCAAATTACTTAATACTACCACCGAAAGACAGGAAACATCTAGTAACATTAGAAAATGCAACACTATGTGTAGACTTTACTCTAGGTCCATAAAGAATAAAGCAATTCCCAATGAAACCCAGTCAAGTATATAAACTGATATATTTAGATATAATGCCTTATTGTAAATAGTCTGAGGCTCATCTCCAAGGCTACTTTCTTGTATTCATCTTCCTGAGAGTAAAACCTATTGAGTTCAGAGTCTTCATTTCTGGTATGATTGCCAAGTGAATCAGTGAGGGACTATTGTATCCAACTACCTTTGATACTAATTTGGTGAAATGTTGCATTCCAATAATCAAATATTATATACTTTGTATTATGATCATTCTCTGGCCAATTTTATATTAAGTATTTGAAAAATAGGGTATCTCCCCCTTTAATATATTAATATTGTATTATAACTCACTATCAGGGCGGGATTCAAAAATTTTAACAACCAATTCTGTTGGCGTTGTTTGGTGGTCATGTGACTGGGTGGACATGGCTCATGTTAATGGCTGGGCGTGGCCAACTCAATATCATTCACATCAAGGCACGCATCTCCTCGCCTGGCCTCTCATGACTGTGAAAAATGGTGATAAGTCACTTTTTTCAGTGCCATTGTAACTTTGGATGGTCACTCCACACAATCAAAGTACCAGCAAAGGAGGGGGAAAAAACTCCAGAAATGTTCCTGAGACAGGATGCTCCCTATCATTAACAGTGCAAGAAATACAGTTGGAAAGAGTTCCATGTATTATGCCTCTTCTTATAATTGTTTGAAGACAATCATTTTCTTCAAAATCATTCTTTTTATGATGTTCATAGAAATGTAACAATTTGATTTCAAGTATATTTGTGTAGAAACAGAGCATTTTTTTCTCAGAAGTTTACAAATAAATTAGTCCTACTCTCACTGTTCTTATTTTCAAATATGATGTTGACCAATACAGTGAAAGCAGATGGGCTGTAATCTCATGTCTCATAAATCAATGGCACAGAAAATAACTGAGAATAATTCCCAGTGTTGTCAACAAGCTGCTTTCAATTTAACCCGACATATAAATTATATTTTAATTGGTGTTTGGGCAAACATGGATTTCTAATGCTAAATCCTAATGTTAAATAAAGATATGTCACTAAAATTCAATTAATGAATCAAAATTTACAGGTAATTTAATTTCTGAATATATTTCTCCTTTTTTGTGATTAGACTATCAATATTTTTTTCATATAAAAATTCTGATTTTTGTAACATACAGTCACTCTTAGTGGGTTGAATTCTATTAATTCCCAACACCACTGCTCAAAAAGAGGCATGTCAAATGAGTCTCGGGGGCACAGAGGTTAGAGTGCAGTAATTGCAGGCTACTTCTGCTTAGAGCCAGCTGCCTGTAATTTGGCAGATTGACTCTCATTAGGCTCAAGGTTGACTCAGCCTTCCATCCTTCTGAGGTGGGTAAAATGACACCCAAATTGTGGGGGCAATATGCTGATTCTGTAAACCGCTTAGAGAGGGCTGTAAAGCACTATAACGAGGTATATAAGTCTAAGTGCTATTGCTATTGCTATATGGCTGTAGAAAAACCATGGGATCCCAAGATTTATATAAAACCTAAGGAGCTAACTGTTGTGAAAAAAAGTTATAGGTATATATCAATCTGCTGTTCCAGGATGTCTTAGTTACTGCTAAGAAAATTAGATGGAATCACTACTTGGGTCTTTCTGCAAACAGTGTAATGAAGAAACCAAATTTTATTGAAGAATGCTGTGTTTGCCATCTCCTCTTTCATCACCTAAAACAGTTTTTCCCAACCTTGTTCATTTCAAATGTGTTAGATTACAACTATTGTCTTAAGGATGATAGGTGACAAATCTAGATAGGAAGTAGGCAAATCTAAAATTTAAATCTAATCCAACAGAATTAGAGAGATGGTGTAATCGGACCAGGATTAATTCACACAACATATCTGGACCAAAGTAAAGTACATGCCTGTATTGAAGACATCTGCACATAACCTCTCCAACTGAAGCCAGGAAATTCTTGAGAATTATAACCAAACCGGACTCCTCTTCCATTAGGAGATGTACCATCCTCAATTTCAAACTTCATGTGATGTAAATCGGGTAAGTAATAATTCTTTTCAGGCCTTTCATAAATGAGATAATAACAATGTCTGGCTTTCTTTTTAAACATCAATGTGCTATATATTAACATAAGACTCTATTTGTTTACTGGGTCAAATATTTGTTTAGCATTCTGTTTTTCACAAGCCATTGGAAAATTTGCATTTAAGACAATAATGCTCATAGGATCCCTAACGAAGTACACTGTGCCTATGCATGAACCTTTAATTTAGTTTTTAGTTTAGTTTAGTTTAGTTTATTGTCACTGCACCTCTTACAATGAAATCAAACACCATCTTCAGTGCACATCATGACCATTAAAATAAACACAAACACACATCCTTCACACTCCATACATTGAACCGAAGACCCTCAACACTGCACTATACAGTAGAATTCAAAAGACCTACTGCCCTGGGATAGAAGCTGTTTTTCAGCCTATTGGTGTGTTTTTAATATTCTGTACCATCTGCCAGATGGTAATAGTTCAAAAAAAGGGTGCCCAGGATGAGATGGATTTACCGGTACTTAACATCAACAATATATTTTATCTTTTATTCAAGTACCATATTTCCTGCTTTGTCTTTAAAAAACAACTTCAAAATAATCCTAAATTAAATTCATGCTATAACACATGGATACTTAAGTACATAGTAGATTAATATAAAAAGAGAAAAGAGGAATAGTACAATCCTTACAAGCAAACTATCAGACTTAAACAAAACTGCCTTCACCAAAAGCAAAACTAAAAAGAAAGGAGCAAATGGGCAGCTTGTTGGGTGATGTTCACAACTGGGGTGCAGCCCCATGAAATCCATCTAGGAACATAGTACATGTGCAGTGGTTAGAATGCAGTACTACAAGCTATTTCTGCTGACTGTCGACTGCCAACAGTTCAGCAGTTCAGTCTGCACTGGCTCAAGGTTGATTCAACCTTTCATCCTTCCAAGGTCAGTAAAATGAGAACCCAGATCGTTGAGGGCAATATGCTGATTCTCTAAACCGCTTAGAGAGGGCTATAAAGCACTTTGAAGAGGTATATAATTCTAAGTACTATTGCTATTGCTACTTAAATTGTAATTTTGTATGTAACCACAGCTTATTTCATACTAAATTATCAATCATGAAGATAGATAGAAAATGCCTAATAATGCCTAACAAATTACACTTTGTAGTTATTCTGTTTTTCTTTCCTTAAACCTTGTGTGTTTTTTGCAGCATGAGGAAAAACATAGATGGCTTGTGGTGTTCCTGCTTTGCATAACTAAAAAGGGATGCCACAAACAAATCTTCCCATTTTACTTACTCTGTACAAGTTTTCCCAATTATATGACTTCTGCACTGGCAGTCACCTGTCAGGTCATTGCAGACGTGACTTACAGACCCTCCCACATCACATTTGCATCCTGCCAATGAAAAATAGAATCAAATTAACTTTTGGTCAGATAACAAACACAACACACTACTAGAAGTACTGTAGGTTTCTATAGAAAGAAAGATGAACAATATGTTTTTCAATCACAGAATGAGAAGGAACGTTGAAGACCATCTCATTTATAAGAAGTCTGGTCATATGGCACTTCCAATACTAGTCTGTCTATCATTTAGTGAGGTTCACTACTGAAGAAGACACCATTATCTTCTATCTTCTAAATGATTGTCATACTAAAGTCTAAAATATTTTGCAAAACATTGAATATTTATTATATTGGCCATCTATTTTAAAATATATCTTATTTAAGCATAATATTTATCAAAAGCTACAATTATAAATGAGTTTGATTGTATTACACTATAACCAATTTATGAATGGGAGCTCTGTTTGATGCTTGTTCTGTCTTGCCTTTGCGTCTCTTGAAATACCTATTCACTATCCTAACTGAAGTTGATTAAGGTGGATTAACCTCCTAGATTTTACTTATTCATGGTTCAAAATTGTATAGTTACAAGATACATTCCAAAATGTTTGTGAATAAAGCTGTTAAACAGCAATAATATATAAACAATCTTTTCAGAAATACTGTATATTATTCTGTATCACAGTTTTGCTTTTTAAAAGCCATACTGTACCTTGACATCCAAAATAATTTTTGGTTTCCAGGCCATGATAACCAGCTTCACAAGTATCACAAGGACCTCCACAAACATTAGGTTTGCAGTAACATTCACCAGCCAGCTATAATGGGAGAATTGGAAGGGAAAAAACAAGGAGAAGATTCAATCTTTCCATTGATATCAACAGTAGCACAGTGGAAAGCTTTGGACATTATGTGTCCAAAGATTATGTGGTAAACAGGCATATAGACAGAAACAGAATATTTTATTGGATTGCTTCCTTAGAAATGCACATGTTTGACATCCTCTTACAATTCAGAAAACAGGTTCCAGGCAGTAGAACAGAATGAAAATATCAGTAGAACAGACTGTAGAATAGTAGAACAGACTGAAAACGAAGTATATTTCTTGTGAATTTCCATTAACTTTCAACTGCAGCCATACTTATAAGGTAAAATGTATTGGAAATTGTCCTGAGAAGATCAGAATATATGCTCACATTTCTATTAACTTCATTTCTTCACAAATTCCAGGAGTCACAATCTGAGAGTCCTCCATTAGTGATTCTTCCTAATGAGTTATGGAAGAAGATCTTTCTCATAATTGATAAGAATGAAAGACTATTTATGGAGTGCTGAATTTAACAAATAATCTAAAACTTGAAATGTAGTTATTTATATTATTTTTAACACAGTAAATTATTTTAGTGTTCTCCAGAACACTTACAGTATGATAAAGAAATTAAAAAGCAATGGCAAAGAACAAAGCTCTATCATTAACTGTACAAGTGTCTGCCTCTATAGACTATTTAAAAGATGTTATGGAAAAGCAACAAGTTTTAACTGACAAGATTGAGACTGAGTTGAAAATGAATTTTCAAATGACAGGCTACAAGAATGACATGGAAAACAATGTTACATTGAACATGCAAAAAAAACCTGCTGATGTCTTAAAACGGATATACAAACTAAAACTGGATAGTTTTTATATCTTGGGTTTTTCAAAAGAGACTTGTTAAAGTTTTGAAGAATTTTGTGAGAAAGGGACAAAGAAGAAATGAAAAGAAATCAAATCCCAATTCATTTTTTGAAGGAAGTAAAGATCAAGATTGTTAAAAATAAAAGGAAGGAATATGATGCTGATTTATTTTATCAAGATTAAAATGGATATGTTGTTCTACCTAATAACCCTTAATTACTTTTTCTAATCAGAACTGAACAACAAGACTTTAAGGATTTGTTTCTGGATAACAGATAGGATATCTGAAGAAGGTATTTGTTGTATTTTAAGATAAAGTAATAAGTCATTAAAATTGTTTATACTTGTTCTGAAGAAGGGGAAAGTCATTTAGTTATATATTTCCATTTTTCTTTACTATAATTTTTTTCTTTCTTTTTTTGAATTTCTATTTTTTCTTTTTATTCTTCTATTTTTAAAAAAATTTGTATAAGTTTTTATTGTTGTAATTTTAATCTTAAATAAAAATATCTATAAAATAAATTTATATCGTTTTACTTCATAAAAAGATTTCTGTAATTTTTTTTAAAATGTAAAACAGAATGTAGATAAACTGTTAGTAAATAAAATGCTTTTACCTGCTGACATTCTCTAATACCACTTAGTACTCCAGCTACATTACAATGGCAGTCTGCAAAAGGAAACAAAGTTATCTGAATCCCAGCTAATGAGCAATTGATTATAATACTGGGGTTCACTAATCAAATGATAAATCCTGGACATTTGGGTTCTGGTGGTTTTATACAGCTGATTGATTTGAGTTTCTCCATAATACTAAAAAAAAAAAAAAAAGACCAGCAAAGGTGCATCAGTACTGGGTATACAAATTTTCAAGTTCTCCAAACCCCACTTTCAGGTACAATGTTAAAAATCATGGAATATTTGAATTAAAATATTAAATTAAAATAGCATTTCCTGTTTCAACAATGAATTTCAAGATGGTGGCAGTGGAGAAGTTCAAGAAATAAACTTGAGATCTACCCTGCAATTTCCATATTTACTGGGATTCTGAGAGATGGCAGCAATTGAATCATAAACTTTCTCTCTTAATTGTTCTTCGTCATGTTAAATATCAACATCTTTTCTCTAATGAGTCTGCTGCAAACATTGTTTTCTTTTTCCCAATCGAACACATTAATCACATTAATAATTAGTAATGCCAGTTTAGTACTGATTTCTGTTTTGATTGATGCAAGTACATTACTATATAGATGATGTGATTATTTGTCGGAGAAGGAATACACTACACATCCATTTGCAACATATTGTTTACAATGCAAAGTATGCATTTTGCAAAATACATTAGAAAGCGTTTTGCAACATAAACAAAAAGCAAAATCTCCATGAATGTTTAGTGTTATACACTGAAAGGCCTAACACATTTCCCATCTTTCAGTAGCACGGAACCATTCCATGCTACTCTATTCCTTTCAAAGCTGATGAACACAAAATAGATTTGGAAAATCTCAAATGGTCTGAAAATAATAGGAGGAAAATAGACTTGATTTTCATTATATGCACAGTTACCTATACATCCATAAGGATTAGCACTGTCCAGGTTCCAGTAAAGTGGCTTACAGATGCTACAGGTTGGGCCCTCTACATTTTGTAGGCACTGGCAATAGCCCTAATAATGAAGAGGAAAAGACACTTGTTAATAAAGAAAACTAAGGTTCATACAGGCTAATGGTATAGGGAACTGAGTTAGGGAACAATTTTACAAGTGTAGAATTGATTTAATGAACAAGCTGTCAATTATATCCACAAGTGAGCCTTAGTCCATAACTACTAGACTATACTGACCATAATATTTGCAGGACTCAAAAGGAGAGCTGAGGACTTTATATCAAAAAGTGGAAAATCTTACAACAAAGACAATCTTAGAAGTTATTTTTAAAAAATACCTTACTTAACATAGAACTCTTCCAACAAGGACAAAAGTTTCCCACATGGCGCTAAAAACAGTAGTATGTGCCACAGAGCGTTACATGGGTCCTTGCCCTCATAATCTTTTCATGTTTTACATAGAAAATAAACAAGATTGCAATGGCAGCTCAGTTATTTGTCTGGAGAAAAGAAGCCTACGGGGCTGATAAAACTGTGTTTTATGTCTCCCATGGCAGCCATTCTGTGAATGGGCAAATATCCCATACAGCATCTTGCCAAAGAATCCATGACATATTGTTGACCTTTCATATGTGACTATTAGCTCAACAAAATTGAGACTCCTGGACATTTTTGAATGTTTAGCCTCTGCTTAAATATTTCTGGTGAAAACGCTTCCTATTATTGCAATATAATATTGCATTTCCCACTATCAAGCAACTCTTATGGTACAGGTAGTCTTTAACTTACAACCACCAAAGTTACAAAGGCACTGAACAAAGTGGCTGATAATTGGTCTTCACACTTACAAACTTTGCAGCATCCCCCATAATCAAAATTGAAGCGCTTGACAACTGACATGTATTTATGATGGCTGCAGTGTCCTGGGTTCATGAGATTGCCATTTGTGACTTTTTCAGCTGGCTTCCAACAAAGTTAATGGGAGAGACAGATTTGCTTAAAATCACAATTCATTTAATAACTGCAGTGATTCACTTAACAAACCATGGCAAAAAAAAAGTTGTAAAATTGGGCGTGACTCACTTAAAAATCACCTTCTTAGAAATGGAAATTCTAATCCCAATTGTAATCATAGATCAAGGACTATCTGTGACAACTTTTTTTTTCCTAATCTTGATATTAAATAAACTTCATCTGCATCTGCTAATTTAGTTACATGAGTTGTTCTAGACACCTATGGGTGATTTATATTTTCTTTCACAGATTAAATTTACCCACTTTTCTAAATTATCTGACTTCTTTATATAATCAGTACTATCTTGGTTGATTAGTCTTTTTAACTGCTATCCCTTCATGCTATTGATATAATACCATGCTAATTATATAATACTTACAGAATAAGAATCTCTGGTTCCAGCAGGATCACATTCATCGATGACCCCTTTTTAACAATTTTTAAAAAGGTAGCATTATTCTCAAAATTTTACTTTTATCAATTTATACAAGAAGTTCAAGTTCAAAGAATTTCACCTTGCTCAAGAGTAACTCACTGTTTATCCCCACAGCAGATTTCTTTCAGAATATGAAATAATCATTTATAATCTAAAAAGCATTTCTCTGTGATGAGTCAGGGCTGGCCAAAAGAACTCACTCAATTCAAGATGCCAAACATTTTTTCAAACGCAATCCACTTCTTTGGAAGGAATGTTGGGAGCTGATCTAATCCAAATCTTCTGATCTCAGACAAATCCAGCTCCTGACTGTACAATGTTTCTATCAATAAGACTGTCCTTGTAATTCTTACCTTGGCAATGAGGAAAAGTACTACTTTTTGAGACACATCGGTCACACTGTTTGCCTATGAAACCATGTCGACAATCACATTGGCCTGAGGTCGGATGGCATGTGTCTTGGTAGGACCCATACGTTGAACACTGACAAGCTGCAAAAATATGTTAATTTTAGAAAGAATGAAGGAGCTGGGTGATATGCTATCTCCAAATTCTAAATCCTCATCTTTTGTTTTACAAATCCCATCTTTCCCAATTGTTGTTATTTCTCTCTAAAGATGACATAATTCTAATCTCCCATCAACTGAAGGTCAGAATTTGAAAATCATTACATTAAACCTTTTTCCAGCGTGATATTATACATGCTTTACAACTGCTCAAGCAAGCTATGATTTCTTCTTTGTGGAATAATGCATTCCACATTTCTCTTTTTTGACACAGGTGTGTAAACTTGGTCAATTCATTTATTGTAACCCCTGTTCACAAAAGTAAGCTCTTGAAAGAAAGGAAAGCTCTGTTCCTATCATATTAATGTCTCCATTAGAAATACTGGGGTTGAGTTAAAAAGGAAGAAAATCAGGCAAATGTGATCAATGCTAAGCTGCTTTGCAGGCTCTGAACTTCTATTTATCCCAGATGAGAAATGACACAGTTCAACAGCAATGAAAGGCCATAACAAAAACACTATACCTGCAAAGAATGACAAAGAAATATTGAATAGGTAAAAAGATTCATGTTCTACACATAAAAACCTTCATATGTGGAGGCAGATGAGTTAGAGTGGACAGAATGATGATGGAAAGTGGACAGGGCCAACTAAGGTTTTCCTTTTTTTTCTATTTGTTTGTAATAACACCATACTAAGCTTATTTTAAGATCACACTACAATTTAAGCATGCTTTCTATTCAAAACAGCAGGAAATTACCAACCACTTTTCAATAATCTTTCAAATAGAGCTCAGCAAAGCAGGTGAACAAGAGAGGACTCCAGGGATCTCAGAAAATTTTAGATCTATAACTATAGTGCTTCTTCCTACAAGATAGCCACTTTTGAATGAGACTAAATTTATCTCAAGTATTGAGGTAGCTGAATTAGACTTCAAAGTCAGAAAACTAACAATACCTATTAGTATTAGGAAAAACAAATACTTTCAAAAAATCAGTAAGTCAGCTAAATTTTACTTGTAAATCAAAATGTTTGAGTGAAAAGGTGAAAAATAAGCCTGTTTACTCAGATCCAGCACCTGGGGGGATCTTAATAACCATGAATAACTGGCTATATTTGGACCCAGCTTAATTTGGATGACAAAGACAATTGCCCTAGGGGCCACATGTGTTGTCCACAAATCCAACTATAGCACAGTTGCATTCTAAATGAGGAAAATAAGAAATTAATTTACCAAGGTATTCTGTTTAAATCTTTAATTTCCTTTTGTCTCTCCAAAGCAAATTTCAAAGAAATCAATGAAACCTAATTTCTGTGGGTTAAGAGATTATTTCCTTCCCTGAAAATACATGCTGATTTTTTTTTTAAAGGAATAATATTTTTTCCTTGTGTTGATGTTTATAATTTAAAAAAAAAACAGTTCTTCTCTATCTCTGTCATTTGAGCTGAAATAGGTACCAATATACCACACAAAAAGTTTCTTATGCCTTTTCTTCCTCCCAAGTCCCAGTATATTAATATATGCAGGGTATTTTTTTAACTATCTGGAAACTGGGAGGCCTCCTAAAACATTCCTATATTTTTCTCTCTGGTGTATGTTAATTTAGAGATACTGCTCTCCATGTGGGAGACAGGCAATGTGCAGCACAGAGAACTGATAGCATCAGCATAGCAGCTTTAGCATCTCCGGGTTTTGATTTATTGAATAGTTTATTCTGTCTGTAGGTAAAATGTAATTATCTTGCCTTTTGATCTGAAAGCCTTTTTGAAAGCACAAATATTTCTGTGTATATAAATAAATGTGCCCCAATTTAAATTTTTAAAAAAATCTTTACTCTTTAGAAATATGAGAACCCTGAATTAGAAGAAAATTTAGTTCTCAATATATTTTTATGACACCTCTGTGACTGCTTTACTTGCATTCATTTTTAAACTTTATAGCCTGCCTTTTCACTTGATGAACGCAATTTATAAAATGCTTAAAATATAAAAACAAATAATGACCTACTTCGACAGAAAGGGTAATGGAAATACCCAACTGCTACATTTTTCACAGATAATACCCTGAAATCCAGTCTGGCATTGACAATGAACCTATATTACAATCACAAATATCATTAATGAATACCCCTGAGCCATAACATTGTCAGGCTTTATTTAACAGAACTGAATTAAAAATGTTAACAAAAACCAGGGATTTCAAGCACAACAGGAGTGAAAAAAAAGTCTCCCAATGGTATTGTTCTGCAGTTAACTTTGGCAAAGAATAGCAAAACTTACGCTGACAGTGTGTTCCAAAATCTCCTGGTCTGCAACGACTGCCTAATCCGGGAAAGAAAAAAGCATGATAATGTTACAGCATTTGTCAAGAATATCTTGATTGATTGAAGTTGCAAAGTTGGGGAGGTTGATACTGCCTAGACAAAGCTCTAAATAGCTAAGGGAATTGCAGAGTGATAATCCAGGTGCAGAAACAGACGTCAAATAGCTTCCAGTTAAAGATTTCCCGTGCTAAGACGCTTCCTATGCCAGAGGGCCCTGTGATGGATAAATTCTTAATAAGCAACGGTTGACATCCTCTGCAGGTGTCTGTTGGTGTAGTTGTACAGTATTTGCATATGCATTTTTAAACGTATGTCTGTACGATATACTTTTAAAATTCACATGAAAAGACCATTCTTCCATTCTGTCTGAGAACCAGAGTATTTCACATCAGTTACTCCCATGGTGCAGTATTGTAATGGAATAACAGAGGTTCAACCTCTGGAAAGCATTATATTTTATCATTTGATTACAATATTGAGGTAGCACGAACATAAGAATGTAAGCAATGCCCTGCTGGATCAGGCCCTTGTTCCATCTAGTAGTCTGTTCTCATACTATAGTTGCCAGCCAACTGCACAAGATAACCCACTAGTGACCCAGCAAATGGCCTTCAGACCGCCTTTAAGACTAATTGGTTCAACCCTGTTTTGAAGTCTGTTAAACTTCAAAATAAGAGAGATTATTTATTTGTTAACACAATTTATGCACCGCACAACTCCCAATGACTATTGCAATATTGTCCAAACTTCACAGCCAACCAATAATCGAGGAAAATCAAATTAACAAGTTCCCAAACAGATTGGGAATCTGACTAGTGAATCTGAACTTATAAAGCTGTGTAGAACAAAGACCGGGCATTTCCCAGCAAAAATTTATGTGGATTTACAGATAAGTCTGTCATTTAGATTTAATATAGTCCCTCTCTCCAATCACACCTTAGTTTTTTTTAATTTTTAATTTGTTCTAATCAGCATATGTATGTTAGTAAATGATAGATAAGGAAAGGATGGAAACAGCACTATTTAAATCTGCATATCGTGCCCCTATACATTTGTGGACACTGTATTCCAGAGGTTGGGGACTATTATCCAAAAAAACCTGTATTAATGATGCATCTATAATTGATACTCTGTTAGTAACTGATAAGTTATAGACAAAAAAGTAAGAAATAAACTTGCCATCAATATGACCAGGTGAAGGGACTGCTGGGTTCTGAGTTGTAGCTGGGGAGATAGGAATTCCTTTCAAAAGAAGAATAAAAGAAGCAGCCATTTAGATATAACCAGAAACCAGAAACAGCAAAATCATTGGTAGACTGGTCTACCAAGGCCTATTTAAACAAACCTGGGAAGAAGGAGATTTTTAAAACCCTTTTTTATCTCTTATCTCAGCTGTTATTATTACACCACTCTTTGTTTCAACATCTTCTCTCTTCTTACTATAATAATTTCCTGGATCTCACCTTCTCTCCTCAACATCCTCACCGTCTCATTTCCCCCACTGTCTGTTCTATTCCTCTTAATCTTGTTCCAATCATCCTTTCATGGCAAACGTTTGCCTTCCACGTCTCAGCTGTTTCCTTCAACCATTTTTCTCCATTTCTTGCTCAATATTCATCTTCTGTTACCCTGATTTATTCCTTCTTTCCAATAAGAATTTTCTCTCTCACAAGGTGAAGGAGACCCTGTATTTTTATGCAGTCAGAAAATTTAGTGGAATATCATTTCCTTCTCCCTATTTTTTGTACCAAAGTAATTATATTTCTAATTCAGACCCTCTCTTGTCCCATCTTCTCCATGTTTCAGTTTCTGCAATATCTCCATGTTAGCAAATACCTTAATATTTATAGCAATACTTCAAAGCAATTATTCTTCTATTATAATGTGTCACTACATTCCATAAGTGCTATGGTTGCAGTGACTAGACTAAAAAAAACAATTATAGCATTGGGACATCAAGCAGAGGAAAGAAAAAATTAGAAGTGAAGAGAACAAATTCATCCAGACAGGAAGCATGTTTAAAAATAGAGTGGCCTGCTTTCCAATCCAGATAATTAATCTGTCATAGTGATAAAACTCCAGATGCTTGTTGTAGAAGTTTGGTTTTAGTTCATATTTCGGAAAAAACTACAGCATGACAATAAAATAAAATATTTACCTCCTTCCCTTATTTGGAAGTATGTCTTGGGAATAGCTTAGAAATAGCACTAGGATAAAAATGAGTGTAAGAAAATCTCAAATAAAACAATGGATATTAATTAAAAGGTTCATTGGACTTGCTGTGATACTCACGGTAACAGAAGGGAAAACTATGGTATCCATCAGCACACCGATCACAGGTTTCACCCTGATAGTTTAGCTGACAATAACAGCGACCTGATCCTTCTTCACAGCCATTGGAATGTTCAGGGCTACACCAGCAGGCTACAGGAAATGACATCATCAAAAGCTTTCTTCAAATACATTTATTTCCTGAAGTTTACTAAGTTTACTAGAATTATAATAACAGGAATTCCTATTGTAGATCAGATTGCTACTTTGTTTGGCAGCAATAAAGTTAATTATAATATTACTTTTTATCTTGAAATGCCATGTGAAGCTTATCACATCAATATCCTTTTAAGTACAAAAACTTAAGCAATTATTATTTCACAATGGAAATGTATTCATTTTGTCTTGAATCAGCTACAACTACATTCTAGAAGGTTATTGATAATACAGTGATCTGAATTGTTTATCATGGTATCAAACACAGTTTGATGTTATATTCACCCAACTAGCTCCCATATTTTAAGGACTCTTGTAATGGAATTGTATGAGCATACTTTTATGTCTCTTTCAATGGAGCCCTTGATACAATGTTTCCCTTTATTTTGGCATTTGTATTCTGCTTCCATGGCAGCTTACCAAAAACCGTTAAAACAAAGTAAAACATTGTTTAAATCATACAAGTGCACACACAAAGAATGTGCAAAGAAACAGAACCGCAGCGGTAGAATGAATTTTTGGAAATGTCTCAATAAATAAGGAATGGTCTTTAGTTCCAAAAAGAACATGAGGTTTGATACTGTACAGGTGAACCTCATTGGACAGTGCATTATATAGAAAGAATTGTATACAGAGAATACCCATACACATTCACTGGAAATATTTTCTTTATAGAGACTCCTCTAACATTTAAAAATTGGAGGCATCCAGGGAAACACCTCTAAAATAGTCTAAAAGACAGACCCCAAAACAGGTCCTTTAGCTGTTAAGTTCTTCAAAAGAACTACACCTCCCCATGAAGTGCCTTTAAGAATAAAATGGCAGGCCATTTAATAATGTAACCTCACTTGCAGCACAAATGATCAGATTCAAATTTTCCTACTATAGATACATTGTGAGGTACTGGTACTGTATGTACTGTATAGCCTTATAGGCAGGGGTGGGATTCAAATTTTTTAACAACCAGTTCTTGAGCATGGCTAGGTGGGTGTGGCTAGCTGAGCGTGGCCATGTGACTGGGTTGGCATGGCTGCTTCTTCTTCTTCTTCTTCTTCTTCTTCTTCTTCTTCTTCTTCTTCTTCTTCTTCTTCTTCTTCTTCTTCTTCTTCTTCTTCTTCTTCTTCTTCTTTTGCAGCAACCCCCCCACCATTTTTAGGCCTTCTGGGCCTCAGGGAAGCCTCCTGGGGGGGCATTTTTGCTCCCAGAAAGTTTCCCTGGGGCCCAGGAAGGAAAAAAATGGAGCATGGGGGGGGCTGGGGGGGCTGCACCCCCCACCTTTCATTTTTTGCCTT